GGTTACTTTAGGTCAAAAATCCAGTATTTTGGGGTTACTCTAGGTCATTTTGGGGTTATTACAGGTCATTCTGGGGTTACTCTGGGTCATTGGGGTTACTTTAGGTCATTGAGGTTACTAAAGGTCAAACTCACTCTCTGTAGAGAATTTTGGGGTTACTTTAGGTCAAAAACCTGGCAGTTTGGGGTTACTCGAGGTCATTTGGGGGTTATTGTAGGTCACTGGGGTTACCTGAGGTCACTGTGGGGTCATTGGGATCACCTGGGGCCAAGTTCTCTCTCTGGGGACCACCTTATGTCACCCACCAAGCCCAACCTCTGTGTGAAGTTGTACAAGATTTCACCAGTATAATCCCATGTTTCCCACTCCAGTTTGTTCCCTGGTCCTTCTCCCTGGGACTGCTGTTATCATTTGTATGGATTTTTTTTTAATGAGTCTCTATTTCCATTATTTTTGGCTCAAGGAGATGAGGTTTCTTCTGTTCTTGGTGCTTCCATCCAGCCATTCCCAACTGTCAGCTTTCCACTCTAAGTTTAGGATTTGTGTCTTACTCCATTTGACTTAGAAGAGCAAACAAGACTGGCTCAAAATAATCTTTATTGAGAAAAGATAATTATGTGAAACTTTTTTCCCTGCTGAACCTGATTTTTAACTTGTACTAAAATTTCCCTCACCTGAACACAAAATTATTTTATTTTAATAGTTAAATAAAGATGATTCTGTGAAGAATGAAGGGTCTGACTCTCTGCCTGGTTTTTTCTGAGATGGCAACTGGAAAGAGCCAGGATTTCCTCAGTGGACAGCCATGGATTTTTCCTCAGGAAGATCTTGCATCTCTCCCAAATGGCTCCAAAATGTGCATCCAACACACGGAATATCCACCTCTGGAGCCTCTAAGATAAGAAGGACCAGGACCTGTTGGAGAGATAAATATTATTTTAGGACAGAATAACATCCTAAAATACCACACAGTGTCCCTGGACCACCCAACCCATCCTGGTCTTTGGTTTATTTCTTTATTCATGGGGGTTTAAAAGCCCCACAGGGAATTTAAAACAGCCCAAGTTTTAAAACCAAGTGAAATGGTTGTGCTGCACCTGAAAGAAAGGGGCCACAGGGACTTGGCAGTGATTTTACTGTTACAAATTCCATTTGTAAGCACTGTTGGTACATTCAAAAAGAAATAACTACAGATTTAGTGGTGTAAATAAATTGTAGGTCAAGATATAACTTTTCTTCAGCTGCCTTGCTAAAAACCCCACTGGTAATTGTTTTCTCCCTTGTATTTGCACTACAATTCTCTGTGTATATTTATGACAGTACATCCACACACCAGCAGGTGCAATATTGAAAGAGTTGTTAATAATAAATGGGGCCCAAATTTCCTCATAAATCAGTGTTCCTATTGTAAAACTCTGTTTTTAATGTCTATGACTTCAACAAAATATAATCTTCTGGGCTGACTTTTTTTCATGCTGAAGGTTCCCCTACATTTAATCTGTGAGGGAAACAGTCAAAGGGATTGGCTGTATCTCAACAAAACTGAGAATGGGAGAATACTTTTTGCTCATGTTTGAAAAAAAAGATGAAGCTAAAGATCTAATTCCCCTGATTTTAGTGGTGAGGTGATGTCAGAAATATGTCTTGGTGGATCACTCCATCCCTCTCTCCCAGGTTTGCTGAGACAGAAGTCCACAAGAAGACTTGGTAAAAAAACCTACATACCTTAGAGCTCTCCAGGTAAAAGTGTTCCCAGTGCTGTGCTGCCCACTTGAAGCAGGAGGTTGTCCATGGATGCAGGAATCTGGGTAGAGAGATGAGTAGGAATGACTTGAGTCAAGCCCTTGCTGTGCTTCTCTGTTGGAGTCTCTGTCCCAGGCCCTGGAGGTGGAAAAATGTGACCTGAGGGGTTGGAGCAGATGTCAGAGAGGAAAAATTCAGGTTTTCTAGATGCAGAGGAAACTAAAATAGAATCCCAGAATGGTTTGGGTTGAAAGGGACATTGAAGATCATCTCATTCCACCCCCTGCCATGGGATATTTCCCCTCCAAGGTCCATCCAGCCTGGCCTTGGACACTTCCAGGGATGGGGCAGCCACAGCTTCTCTGGGCAACCTGTGCCAGGGCCTCCCCACCCTCCCAGGGAAGGATTCCTTCCATAAAATAACAAACCAAAAGAAGAACAACAAGCAGCAGACAACTGAGAGGTCAGGCTGATCATCCTCCCATAACTGAAAAAAGCAGGGACATCTGTGGATCCTCTCTCTCTCTGTGAAAATTTTTAAGGGCGAGAGAAACTTCTGACACGGGCACCTGCTGGCAGGAGGACACAAAGAATAATGGAAAGGGAAAGTGTTACAAATGGAAAGGGAAAGTGTTACAAATGGAAAGGGAAAGTGTTACAAACCGCCTGCACAGGTCGCCTAGAGAAGCTGTGGCTGCCCCTGGATCCCTGGAAGTGTCCAAAGCCAGGTTGGATGGGGCTTGGAGTAACCTGGGCTGGTGGAAGGTGTCCCTGCCCATGGCAGGGGGTGGCACTGGACGGGTTTTAAGGTCCCTTCCAGCCCAAACAGCCCCCAGGGATGTCCTGGCGGAGGGGACACCGCGGTCGCCAAAACCTCCCCCCGAAACCCCCCCGGAGCCCCGCACGCCCCTAAACCCCGCCCCCAAACCCCGCCTAGCAAAGCCCCGGCTCACGCCCAATTTTTAGACCCCGCCTAACCCCGCCCCTTTCTCGCTGACGTCACCGCCCCGCGGTGGCGCGAGCGGCCCCGCCCCGATGACGTCACGTGGCGCTACCGGCGCGGCCCCGCCCCCCCCGACCCCGCCCCCCCCCTCCCAGCGCCGCTCCGGGACCCTCGGGCAGGTAACGGGGTACGGGACGTGGGGAGGGGGTACCGGGGTACCGGGGTACTGGGGACAGGGCAGGGGGCACCGGCCCCGCGCCCCGGCAGCGACACCCGCGGGACGCCCCGTTCCCACCGCTCCCCGCCCCCCCCCCCGGCTCCCAAAACTGACCCCCTCCTTCGCCACCCGCCCTGCCCGGCTGTCCTCGCCTTCCCCGGGGAATCGCCCCTTTGGGACACGGGACAGACCCCTGTGCCCCATGCGCCGCTTGAGGTCTGGTTCCCCAAACCCCACATCCTGCTGCCACCCGCGTCCCGCTGGCCCCGGAATGGGATACTGTCGTGCACACGCCCCCTCCCACGGCAACAGAGGGGAAATTCTGGGGAGCCCCCCACTTTCTGTGCTTTATACCCCACAACCTGGACTCGCCTGCCAGTGATCTGGACAGGCGGCTGACCTACCCCCAAAACCCCAGCACTGCCACCCCACCCGTGCCCTTCGGAGCAGACCCCAGTGGCCCGGAGCTGGGCAGAGGCTGGGCAGACAGGGCTGACACCTCCTGTCACACCAGCCCTCGCTGTTTCCCGCAGGAGCCACCATGGATCTGGTCCTGGAAGCCGCCGACCAGCACCTGCTGACGCCCTACGTGTACCCCGCGGGGTGGCCCGAGGGCGAGCCCTGCCGACAGCTCCTCAGCCTCTTTGTCATCACCAACCTGGGTGCCCTGGCCCTCTACCTGCTCTTCGGCACCCTCAGCTACTACTTCATCTTCGACCACGAGCTCAAGAAGCACCCCCAGTTCCTAGAGGTGGGTGCACACCCCCGTGTCACCCCCTGCCACCCTGCTCACCTGGGCCCTGTGGCACTGCTGAGCTGTCAGTGCCCCCCTTACCATCCCCTGGGATGTCCCTCTTGCCATCCTCTTCCAAATGCCACGTGCCAGTGTCGTGGTGGGGGTGGTCCCCACTGTGTGTCACAGCCACCCCTCTCGTCCCTCTGGTGCCCGTCCATGCAGGGTCCTTGGTCATCCCTGACCAGAAACAAGTGCCACGACACACTAGACCCAGCACCCCGTGTGAGCCCTGTCCTGCCCCAACCTGACCCCACATGGAGCAACCTGGGATAGAGGAAGGTGTCCCTGCCCATAGTGGAGGGTGGAACTGGATGAGCTTTAAGGTCCCTTCCAACCCAAACCACCACCAGGGATGTCCACCCGCCATCCCGACCGAGGGGCAGCACGCTGTGGTGGCACAGATGCCAAAGTGCCCATGGCAAAGTGGTGGCCAATTGCCGTCCCTCATGAGGGGCACTGGGGCTCTTGGGTGTTTGCCTGACTCCCAGTATGACCTCTCCCCCGATCCCTCTCACCCCCCAGAACCAGGTGCGCCGGGAGATCTGCTACGCGCTGCGCTCCCTGCCCTGGATCAGCGTGCCCACGGTCGCCCTGTTCTTTGCCGAGGTGCGGGGCTACAGCAAGCTCTACGACAACATCGAGGACTCCCCGTATGGTGAGACACCTCCCCCAGCCCCCTGCCAGGGCAGGACCCTCTGCCCACTGCCTGGCTGGGCAGCGTGCCCAAGAAATCCTCCTGGGCACCTCCTGCCCCATCTATTAGTCGAAAACCCAAGTCCTCTCCAGGCTGACATGAGGAGGAACCCAAACACCCTTGCTCAGGGTCATGGCCCCCTGCTTGGCACGCTCCCCCCTCCACAGAATAGATCCTTCCCTTCCCTGGGCACAACTCCTGAAAAACCAGTGCCTGACTCGCTTTCCCTGAGTCACATGAGACTGTCTGACCCTCTCACCACATCTCCTCTGTGGGGCAAACCCTGACACAACTGGGGCGTGTCTCCCACCATGAGGGCCACTGCACCTCCCTGACCCCCCTCCTGGCCCCTGTTGATGCCCACACGTGCCCCCTCTAACATCCCTGTTCCCCCAGGCTGGTCTGGTGTCTTCCTCAGCATGCTGTCCTTCCTCTTCTTCACTGACATGGGCATCTACTGGATACACCGGGGACTCCACCACAGGCTGTTCTATAAGGTATGAGATGGGATGGCAGTGGGATGGGATGGCAGGCTCTGGACAAGGGTCCTTGCCCTGCTCTGGGGCCGTGTCCAAGCTGCTCCTGCCAGGGGTGGGAATGGTGGGTTTGACCCTGTCCCCTCACCTTGGTCCACAGTGTGATGGGAGCTGAGATGGGCATGTGTCCCTCACTCCCTGTTTGGGTGGTGGTGGCCTGAAGAGCGGTCCACTGGGCTGTGAATCTGGGATTTTAGGGGATCACCCCCCCTGAAAGGGGCCACCCTGACAGCCCACCCTCTCCCCGCAGCGCTTCCACAAGCCCCACCACCTCTGGAAGATCGCGACGCCCTTCGCCAGCCACGCCTTCCACCCCGTCGACGGCTTCATGCAGAGCCTGCCCTACCACGTGTACCCCTTCCTCTTCCCCCTGCACAAAGTCACCTACCTGGGCCTCTACATCTTCGTCAACGTCTGGACCATCTCCATCCACGACGGCGACTACCGCGTGCCCCGGTTCCTGCGGCACGTCATCAACGGCTCCGCCCACCACACCGACCACCACCTGTACTTCGACTACAACTACGGGCAGTATTTCACCCTCTGGGACAAGATTGGCGGCTCCTACAAGAGCCCCACGTCCTTTGAGGGCAAAGGCCCCCACGACTACTTGCGCAAGCTCCGAGAGAAAGACCCCGGGGCACCCAACAGCCTCCCGGCCTCCAAGAGCGAGTAGGCTCCCCCTGGCCTGCCCCCTCTCCAGGATGACATTCCCTGGCTGGATCTTGTCCTGTTCCTCCCTGGCCACTTGAGGCTGTTTTCCCACGGACAAAGAGCCCCTGTCCTTGATGGTGTGACCAGCGTGGGGTGATTCTTGCTGAGCCCGACCCTGACCCCAGAACGGCAGCGTCCGGCCTCGCTCTACACCACAGATCTGCCCTGTTTTCCCCGTTGCTTCCCTTCCCAGCTGCCTTTGGATCTCTGCTAAGGTCCCCTGCGCTGCTTTAATGCTGTGTTGCTGCTTTACAACGAGAATAACATGGCACAAATCGAACAATAACGTGGCACAAATAGAACAATAACACGGCTCGTGGCAGGGTCCCCGTTCATCTGCTGTTGCCATCGTGGAGTCCATCGGGACAGGCTGTATTTTGCAAAAAAAAAGCTACTAATGCCTACCTTTTGTGGGTGTTGTGGGTCCTCCTGATGGCTCCTCGATGAGCCAGGGCTCAGTGGGACTCCTTGGCAGGACTCGACGCTCTCTCCTCCTTCCTCTCACCTGGGGATGCCCGTGGGGTGTGGATGGGACACATCCCAGAAACAGTCCACCTGTAGGACAGAGATGTACTTTGAGTCCTGCAGGTCCCTTGAGCTCCCTGAGAACACTGAGGGAGGGGGGAGGAGGAACAGATGCCTGGATGTGAGGGGCAGGGGCTTCTCCTCACTCGGGGGTTCGTGGCTTCCCCTCCTGAAGGCCCTGTGTGTTTCCTGCTGGAATCTGGTCCCCCTGCCTTTGGGTTCGACCCATGTTCAATAAATCTCACTTGCCAATGTGGCTGCTGTTTGGTCCCTTCCTGTGGAAGCCTGTTTCTCCCCTACAACACCCGTGCCAGGCTTACCCTGGGCAGTGCTGGCAGCAGGTGTGTGCAGCACCCCCTCCCCTCTTTATCTCAGCAGGGTTGGGGACAATATCCCTGAGCAGCGTCCCCATCTCCTTCTCCTGCAGAGGGACTGAACCCCTCTACTCTCAGGGTATGGATGAGAGCCACAGAGGCCCTGCTGACACCCCTGTATGGCTCAGAGGGGGTGAGGACCAGTGTCTGCCAGTGGGAACTGCGGCACAGTCGGAGTGGCCAGAGCCACCTCCACTCCCCCAAACATGTAACCACATCCCTGCACAGTGATTCCTGTGCTTTCCTACCCAGTTTCACCAGCTGTACCAGCTGCTGGACCTGCTCCCCACCCTGTCTCAGCCACCCCTGGAGCAAGGGTGTGGCTCCAGGTCACACCACTACACCTCTGGACACCCATCCCATGTCCTGCGAGCACAGTCCCACACCTGGCCCGTGCTCTGCTCTCCCCTCCCCATCACAGCTCACTCTCCCCACGTGCACAGGACACCTGACCTCTGTTTGCTGATTAACCTGGAGCCCAGAGCACTGCCCAGGGGTCAAGGCCAGGCCCAGATCGAACACAGTGTCAACAGTGCTGACCTTGGCCAACTGCCAGGGCCTGATTGCCAAACACTAGACCCTTGGGAAGAGTCCTGGACTTCTCATCAACCCATCTTCCCACCTCTGCTAAGCCTAATGCCTGGGTACCCCATCCTGCAGCCCCGGGGCGAGTGGTGACCCTTGGCAGATGGATCCTTGCAGAAAAGTAAATTCCTATGAACGAAATGGCATCAAACTCGTGGTGCCCAACACCCTGGGCCCCTGCACCCTCCCACAGACCTTCTCCTAGCCGAGCACAGCCCGGACCCCTCGCATTCCCACCGGGCAGAGGGATGGGGCTGCAGCACCACGACGCCTGAGAACAGGGAGATCGTGTCCTCCCGTGCCAAGGCCCCCGGGACAGAACACCCCTTCCGCGGTGGCCTCGGGGCGCTGTGCCACGGGGAGATGCAGCTCGGTGTGCGGGACCCTGGTGCTGCTGTTGCCACAAGGTGGAGGTGTTGCTCTCGACACGCCGTGGCAGAGCTGCACCTGCGTGGATGGCCTTCCTCCTCCTCCTCCTCCTCCTCTTTCTCCTTCTCCTCCTTCTCACCGCCCAACGTGGGGCAGGAGCAGCTTTGCCAGAGCACACTGGTGGGGTGTCCCTGCTCCTGTTCCATGCCCCCTGCCACGTGCTTCACCTGGCTAAGTGGATTTCCTCTGAGCCCCAGCCTGCTCTCCTTGTCTGCAACAGCCACTATCCCACCCCACAAGGAGTGTTTGCTTCCCTCCTTTCGTGTCCTACACGATGCTGTCCCGCACACCAGGCAGTGCACACTCGTGATGCCTCACGCTGCACACTGAACATCATTTTCAGTGACACCCCGGGCACAAAAAGTGACATGTGGTGTGTGAGCACAACAGTCAGGTGCCTCTGGTGACAGCCCTGAGCCCTGCAGGAAACACCTACAAACCATCATCCACTCCTGATGAAGGCTCTGAGGCCAATGCCATGAGTAGGATACAGTCTTCAGCATCCCTCTTTTACTCCCTGACTCCAGCAACACACAACAGGTCCTTTAAACAACTCAATCCTCTCTCTCTGTGAGGCTCTGTGAGGGAGGGCAGTTCCAGCCCCTCAGTCCCCTAAACCCTCCAGGATCACTACAGCTGAGACAGGGAAAGGTCTCAGGGAAGAGGTGAAGGAAAGCCAGGGGGCCAGGGGCTGCTTGCCTTGCTCTTGGAGTTCACAGCTTTTACTGCTGATGAAATCCAGATGGACTTTAAAATAAACTCTGCTCTGTTCCCTCTCCCCTCTAAGGCAGGAGACGGGTTCTCTCTTCAAGAAACAAAAAATACCTTTGGCAAAGGAAACCTGTGTTTCCCTCCACAAAGAAAGAGCCATTCATCTGCAAGCATTTGCCAGGTTCACCAGAGAGCTCCTTACTAGAGCTCTCTCCTCGTGCCCACCACAGTGACCTGGCTGGAGGGAGCCCACGGGGGAAAATGGGGATGTTTCTTGCTCAGAGCACCAAGCAGAGGCTGGGAGAAGGACAGCACCCCCCCCCCCCCCCCCATGCACCCATTTCCTCCATTCAGAAGCTGCTGCAAAGCCAGGTCCTCATTTCCTACTATTTCTTGTTCTATTCTTCCTCTATTCCTTATTTTTGTGTTCTCTTTGGGTCGTTCTCACCATGTCTGCTCTGTAGAGAAAGTGGCTACAGGGATTCCCACACAATAAAATTCCCTCATTGACTCTGCCCTTACCCACAGTGACCTCCAGTCCTCCAGAGGGACATTACACTGAGTCAAGACCTCTAAAAGCTTTATTAGGAGGGCTTATAATTGTATTGACTCGATAATTGAAATACACTAACTGGGTTTCTAGGTGAAAGCACCTCGGGGAAAGCTCTGGACAACATTTCTGCTATTAAAGCAAGTGAAATAAGGGGGGGCAAAACTGCCTCGGGGCTGTCCATGGGATTTACAAGCTCCCATTCCTTCACTGCTGGGCCACATCCTTTTTCTCTGATGATTCCCTGATAGCAATAGAATTTCTGGAATGGTGCACAGCACATGAGGCAGAGGAACCCATCAGTCTGTTCTCAGCATCTCTGAGACACAAGAGGCCAGAATGCAGGTAAGTCCCTTTCTCAGCAGCAAGACTATGCCCAAATAACCACCTCTGGTTTAGAGAGAAAAGCTGGGGCTGAGCAACAGGCACAGCCCTGCTCTCCTGTCATCTTCCACAGTCATTTGAGCCTCAAATCCTTGTTCCCCTCTCCCAGCACACACATGAGCCCCAGGGAGGGACAGGGCAAGTCACTCTCTGGAAGGGATGCATGAGAGGTGCCTCTCCCAGCCTGCAGCAGCACCAGGGGAATCCCCACATCTGTGAGTCCAGCATTTTGGGCTGCCCCAATAAATCAAAGCTGTGGCCACTGGCGCTGGTCCTGCACAACCAACCATGCATTATGTTCACTGTGCCAGGGAGTTATGAGGGTGCAGGGGAAAGTTACCTGTGCCAAATGTTTTATGGGAAGCACACAGCCCTGAGCAGAAAGAGCCTCTCCACTGGCACAGCTCAAACACACCTGACCAGGTGCCAGAGGTGGGAGAGGTGACAGGAGGGCCTGGAGGGACCCTGGGGGTCTCTGGTTTCCCACTCCCAGCAGCAGCCTGGGTGAGACAACACTCACCTTCCCAGCTCTGCCCAGGTGAGAAGATGGCAGAAATTGAGATAAAGATGCCTAAGGGCTACCAGAAACACATCATGTGAAATCATCAGTGCCTTTTCCTTTCTCCTCTTGACATCCATCCACACCTTCACCTTCCCATCCTGAAGCAGACACAGCTCTTTATCCACCCAGCCCACTCTCTCAGCAGCAAGGACCTGAGCCCTCATTACCATGGTTCTATGTTTCACACCACTGTGATTCTATCAAACCCCAGCCTGGACACTTGCACAGGCAATTGTGCTGCTTCCCACTGATCCTGGGGTGTGTCAGGCCCCTGTCCTGGGCTGGGTGACACAGGAAAAGTACAGCAAGGCTTTTTTTCTTTTTGGAACACCTCTCTCATTCCCCAGAGAGAAGCAGCTGCAATGGTTTTATTTTGTTTGAGTTAATTTCACAGAATCTTAGAATAGTTTGGATTGGAAGGGACCTTAAAGCCTACCTTGTTTCACCCCCTGACATGGGCAGGGGAAGATCCCTAGACCAGATTGCTCCAAGCCCTGTCCAACCTGGTTTTGGACAATTCCAGGGATGGGGCAGCCACAGCTTCTCTGGGCAACCTGTGCCAGGGCCTCTCCACCCTCCCAGCCAAGGATTTCTTCCTGATATCCAATCTAAACCCACTCTTCATCACTCTGAAGCCATTCCTCTTTGTCCTGCCACTCACAAACACTTTCATTGACTCCAGCACGATCTCATTTACTCCGTCACGGCTTCAATTTCATTCGCTTGACTCTTGCGGCCGCTTCATTCCGCTGTTTTACTCCGTTTGACATAAATCAACTTGAACTTATTTCGCTCCTTCGGGGGGGCGGGGGGGAAGGGAGGGGGAACCCGAGCATCCTCCGGAGAGGAGCCGGGGGAGGAAGAGGGAAAGGGAGAAGCAGAGGAAGAGGGAAAGGGAGAGGAGGAGAGGGGAGGGGGCCCGAGCATCCCCGCGGGGGGGTCTCGGCGGCAGCGCTGCCCATGCACATTCTCTCCGGGCGGCGGCGCGGCTCCCGCTCGGCTCCGGCTCCGCTCCGCCCGGCCCCGGCGGCACGAACATGGCGACACGGAGCAGAGCCGGGGCTGGCCGGGCCGCCCCGCTCCCCCTGCGCCTCCTGCCTCTCCTGCCGCTCCTGCTGCTGCTGCCGGCGGCGCCGGCCGCCCGCTCGCCGCTGCTGCTGCTCCGCTCCCCGCATCCCCCCGCCGCATCCCCCCCGGAGCCGCCGCGGGGCCGCCGCGCCGCGCCGCGCCCGCCCGAGCCCATCCAGGTGTACGGACAGGTGAGCACGGGGCACACGCGAGAGCCGCCCCCCGCAGCGAACACCGCGTCCCGGCACCCCCCCCTCGCCCCATCCTTCCCTCGGGGGAGCGCTCGGGGGGATGCAGGGAGCCGGGGGCGGAGTGGGTCCCGCGTGGGGAAGGGTCGGCGCGTCGCTCGCCGGCGGCTCGTTCGCTGCTCCGTTGGCGTTTTTAGGGTCTGCCGGTCCCCGCGAAAGCCGTTCCCGCAGCCCGGCTCTCCCCCAGAGCCATCCCGCACCGGGGGCACCGTCACACTCGCGTCTCTGCTCGGCGCTCCCCAGCAGGATGCTCTCCCGGCGGGAGCAGCCAAGGGCACGGGCGCAGGGATGCGGGGCCGCTCATCCCCGCCGGGAGCGGGTCCCTGCGGCTGGGAGCGGGCGGGAGGTGGGCAGCGGCAGCTCTCTGCTGGGGATGCTCGTGAGGAATGAACATCCCTGCGCTCGGAAGGCCGGGCAGAGGGAGCGTGACTCCGGGAGAGGACATGGCTATTTGTGAGGCACCGCGTCCTTCTCCCTCCGCTGCGTGTCTGAACCATCCTCCACTGATCCTTGGAAAAGAGGGGGAGAGGAGTTGCTCATCGCAGGGAAACCTAAAAACTGCTATTTCTGAAAGTATTCAAGCTCGATTCCCTGGTAAGTTTTGCTGCCAGGACCATAAAGGCTCCCCTTCACCCCTTCTTTTCCAGACAACCATCACTTTAGGGGTGATGAGGACTTACACTTGGACTTTTGGGTGCCTGCTATGGAAAGCTTCAGCCTTGAAGAGTCTACTTTGTTTCTTGAGTATCCACATGCTAGACTAAATTACACTGCCCTACTTGACCCTCCTTGCTGACACTGTGTCCCCTCACGTGCCTAAAATGCTGCTGGGGAAGGAACCAGCCTGTGGAGGGACAAGGCACACTCAAGGAGAGGCTTTGAACCTTCAGTGACATCTGTGTTTGCCTCCTTGGTTAGTGCTTTCCCTCTGGGTGCCTTATAATTCCCCCTTTTTGCTACTTGTAGGATAAGAGGGAGCCAGTCACGAGGCAGGGCTGGCCCTGGAGCTGCTGGAGGGGCACACACAGGGCTGGTGCTGCTCCTAAAGCCCTTCTGTTCCCTTGTTTAGGGAAAAGCTGTTCCTCCTCCCCTTGAAAATCTGCTTCGCCTCCTCTACCTCCTCAACGTTTGGCTGTTTTTAGCACAACACAGCTACCCCATTTTAGAAGAAGAAACCATGACACTTGTCTCTCATCTACAGAAAGACATTTGTAGCACTTTCCCTTCTGTCTCCCCGTGGCTTTCATCCAACCCACCTGCCAGGTAGGGCTGCTTTGGCAGGAGCAGCCTCTGTCACCTGGACACGGAGCTGCAGATCCAGGAGGGTGCAGCAACCCTGTCGCTATCCAGGACAGGACTAATAGGAAGCAGTGGGAGTTCAACAGTTTGCCACTGTTTGGGATTTTCTCATTGCCTTAAGCTTTCAGAGGGGATTTGCCTGGAATGGAGCTGCTTTTGCTGGCAGCATAGCAAACAGAACCTGTTCCTTCTGCTGCTTCGGGGCAGGACACATAAAAAAAAAACAACCCAGGTATGTCAGCAGGAAGAGTTGTTTGTCACTACACAACAGTTCTCCCAAGTGCTAGAGGGCTTTAAATCAGGGTCTGCTTTAATAAAAGGGGCAAGAAGGAGCCCATGTGTCCCAGCCTGTGTTACAGATCTGACCACACAAATTACTAATGCCCAGTAAGCCGGAATGCTGTGCAGCTCAGTGCTCGGGGGTCTCGTGCCTTGTCACAAGCATCTAACAATTCCCTCCTCCCCCAGGTCTCTGGCACTCTAATCCCAGCAGAAAATCGTGCAGCCAAAGCAGTCCTCTCGCAGGGACATCATCCTAAGGGGCAGTGCTTGGACCGAGCATCCTTGTGCAGTCCCTTATCTGGGACACATCCTGCTCCTGTGGGTTTGGCAGGTCATTTGGCCATATGCTGGGCACTGGCTCATGCCTGAGACTCCCTGCCCTTCTCTGGCTTTTGGTTGCAGTCCTGTAACAGGCTCGTGGGACAGCTTAGAGCCCAGGCTGAGCTCAGAGGTGAAGAAAAGCACCTTCACCTTGTTGCTGCTGTGGGTGATGTCCCCAGGGCACCAGAGGGCACCTGCTGGAACCAAGGAGAGGAAGGAAGTCCAAACCCTTTGTGGCTCCTTGGGAGCCAAATACAGCTTACTCAGTATCATCAGGAAGAGGCTCAGAGCCCTCTTGCCCTAAACTCCAAAGGCACAAGCACAAGATGTTACTTGGATTCCTCACCTGGATCCTCACCCGCTGCCAATCGCATCCTTGCCTGGCTGGCTGCAGCAAAAGTTTTGGGATCTTCAGCAAGTAACAAGAGCAGCAGCCCAAACCCCTGTGCCTTTGTGGCTTTTCCTTGTTTTTTCTGACTCTGAAGCTGCAGCCACCAAGAGACCAAACACACGACTCCGGAGACCGTCAGCTCGGAGACAGAGCGGGTTTTGTTCGCTCGCTCGGCCCTCACCTCCACGGGACTCTTGGGGAGGGTTACAATGGACAGACTGTTACAAAGCAGGCACTGACATGAGACAGGACTTTTCTAGGACACCACCGACAGCAGAGAAGCATCCTCAGGGCAAGACAAGGGCTGCCTGCAGCCCCTTGGGTGCTCTCTAAACCCCTTCCAGCAACCACAGCACCGCACCCTGCCCTCCTCTTCCTGGCACAAACCACTCATCTGGAGCCCACCCTCCTGTCCCCTCACAGCCTCTGTTCTCTTGCCTACACATCCCTACTCAGACCTGGAGACAGGGCTTGGCTCCAGGATTTCACATTTCCATGGAACATCCCCACCATCCCACACAAATCCCGTCTCCCGGGTGAAAACCAGCCACAAACGGCGTCGCCTGCCAGGACTTTGCTCAGTGCAGCAAACAAGGAAAAGGAAAGCAGCCACTTTGGCTGCTTAGGTGTGTGCAGGGTCCAAGGGTGTTCTGGGACTGTGGGGAAGGCTCTGTAGGGAGTGTCATGTCTCAGCCACAGCAGACAGTGAGGAGAAGTGTTGGGGCAGGAGGCCAGCCTGGGCCTGCTGGTCCCGAGGGGTGAGAAAGGGGAGCACAGTGACCAAAAGCATTTCCACTGCTGAGCTGCTAATACAGGTCTAACCTTTACCTGCAGAAATCCCTTTCCCTTCTCTGGAAAGGATTTATCCAAAGCCACCTGAAAAGCATGCAACTCACAAGAAATCTTTGCTTTAAACCACGCTGGGATAAAAGATATCTTATCCAACTGCTGGTGGCTCCCGTGGCAGCCAGTTCACCCTCTGTGCTGCCACTGCAAGGTCTTGAGTCTCTCTCCACAGTCACAGCCTGTGCAGGGCCATCACCTCTGTGCCTGCCCTAACATCAGCTCATCTCTTCCCCTTCTGGGGGGAATCTACTTCATTGCTCTCAAGCTTCCCATTTCCTGTGGATAACCCCTCCTGCCTTTGAGGAAAAACACCAAGTCTTCATCATTTCCAGGCTATTTACTGTGACACGACCTTTTACCAGCCCACTTGACCTTGACCCTGCCCACCCCTCTGTGCTGATGAAGACCTCAGATAACCTCCTGACAACATGCAAGCTGGCAGAGAGCCTTTCTCCTTCCAGAGAAGGCAGAAAGTGCTTGGCAGGGTAAATGCCATCCAGCCCTGGGAACGCTGGATCAGTCACGCTGCATCGGAATTGAACCATACTTAATTTTGACCTAGTTTGTCAGAGCCCTTCCCACATTAGACTTTAACCTTCTGGAGGTGCCCTGGGTGCTGATGGCACGGCCCAGCCACATCCTTCCTTCTTCATTTATCACATACCCCTCCCCATCTCCGTGTCTTTCCCAGTCATCCTGGGAAGGCTCCCTGCTCCCAGCACTTGCTCTTTCCCCGAGCTTGCCAGGAGACACGGATCTCTGGAAGCCACACAGTTCCTGCTCCTGGCACCGCGGTGGCTGGGAGAGGTATTTGTGTTTTTAATCCATTGTTTCCCCTTCAGCAGGTTCCTCTCAGATCGTGGTGTCCCAGGAGACATCACTTAAGCTTTCCAGAGCTGCAATCACCAGCTCATGGCACACTTTAGACCTCTCCTGCAGCCTTGGTTATGGGGGAATGGATTTCATCAGCACTTACCCAAATCTACTGGGGCAGCCTCCATTCCCATCACATCCCTCACCTCTGCCAATTTAGGAGAGCCCATCTCCAGGACCTCCTTACTAAGTGGCCAGGTTATTTCTGGTTGTTTCTGGGTTCCCCCTCCCTCACCTTTCCCTTTCTCCTGGAAACAACAGCTAAGGGAGAGCTCTGTTGGTGCAGCAGAGAGAAAACAGCCCCGCGAGCAGACGATTCCAGTGTTAACAAAATTAACACAGGCCTGGCGCTCTCCGAAATGAGTCACCCGTGTTTCATATCAATGATTTCAGACCCTGGCATTTTCAGTCCAAGCCACAAGCAGCGCCACGGCAGGCACAGGCTGTATTTTAAAATATCATGGCAGGGCTAGAAACAGATGCTCGGGAGCAGAGCAGAAGGTACAGTAATGAAGCTTTAGTGGGAGCGCACGGGGAACGTGGCGTGCCGGGAATGCAGGAGCCACCCATGACACTCATCCCCGAGGCTGGGCTATTGCATAAGCCTTGCCAGGGGGGAGGCAGAAGAAACAGGGACAAAAAGGCCTGGTACTTGTCCTCTGAGGCTTCCAGTGAGCTGGAATGATGAGGAGCGTGGTGAGAGCACCTTTCCTTTTAAAGCTCTGTGCTTTGCATCTCACCCCTTCCAGCAGTGGCTTTCTTTAGCCCCATCCTCATTTCCCCAGCTACTGGGGACAAAATGTTTAGCCCATCCCTCTTCTGCAAGCAGCCCTGAAGCCAAGATCTGACCTGATGGCAAAACTTGGTTTCAGAAGCCGCTCACAGCCACAGAGGCCCCTTGCTCTCTGAGACCCTCACTCACCAAACCACGGTAATAACCTACTGTCTATTCAGAAATTTCCTAGGAACAACATTTTTTTTTTTTACAGGCATCCCATTTTCAGTTGTGTAACCAGGATGGGAAAACACATAAGTGATGCCTAGGAATCTTTATTCTACACCCCCCCAATTTTACAGCATCCAGCCTCAAGCCCTGAGCAGTCACAGTACGTCTCCTCCTGATTTACCACAAGCTGTGGTGCAGGCCTATGGCTGGAGCATTAATCCCCAGCAAAGCAAACCCAGAGACACACACAGTGAGCTGCCAAGCCCACTCCACACCAAGAATAGCCCCTAATGCTGTCCTGTCACTTGTCACCACTGTTAGCAGGCACACAGTATTTCTGCTCGTGGTTCGTCACAGCCAACGGCGCGATTTCTGCACGGGGAAGTCACACTTCCCACGCAGAGCAGCTCTCTGGGGGCTCCAAGGCTGGCATTTAGAGTCCTCTGGTGATGGAGTAGCTCCAGCAAGGTGCCCCTGCCAGAGTCACTCATCTCCTGGGCAGCCTGCACCGTGCTGGAGCCCGGGGCTTTCGCTAACGCTGCAGTTTGTCACGAGCCAGGGTTTGAGCCACCTCTGCAGCTGAAATCCTGCCCCAGCCTCTCCATCTGGGCACAAGCAACAGAGGGGGATGTGACAGGAAGGGAAGCTGGCATTTGGGCATTTCAGGTGCCAAAGAGTGTGGATCAGGGCACTCCCCCCAGCCCCAGATGCTTGAGGAGCTCAGCACTGTACACTACACACCTACCAACAGTCAGCCCCTCTCTGGGCTCAGCAAGGCAGCACTTCCATCTCAGCATCCAGACAACATTCCATCTGCCAGCACTCCAGCTCCAGCTGCATCCCTGAAGCTCATACCTGCTCTGGGGCAGCAGCTCCAGGGGCTGTCTTCTTCTCATCCGATTTCTGCAGGGCATTCATTTGTAGGAAGATACTGTTAACAAAAAATAAATACATAAGCGTGAGCAAAGCTAGCAGCATTAACTACTTTAACTAGAGCTACAAGCAGCCTCTGCTATGTCTTGGCTCCAGTTTTCCCCTCCTGGACTTCATTTGGCACCTTACATATTAGGAGGACAAATTAGAATTTCATGCATATTTCATATACACTTAATCACTTGGCAAAGACCAAAACACTTCCCCATTAAGTGGAATTTATGCTAAACACTGTTTCCATTAGGCACCAGTCACTGCCTGTTCGTAGGTTAAACCAGTTCCCAGGGAAGGTTGGGACCCTGTTAGGGGAGGCTGTGACAGTGGGCTCCTGCCAAAGGAGCAGGCAGGGTAGGGTTCCTCCTGTCAGGGCTAACAGAGCCTTACTGCAAAGCTGTTCCACAAAAAACACCCTCATCAGCAGGACATGAGGTGCTTTTCACCCAGGGCACACAGGGCAGTGCTGCTGCCTCAACAGCAAAGATTAGGGGTCCCATTTGTTGCTCCCCTGAGCCATTTGGGTCCCCACAAAGCTCTGAAGGGTCAGAGCAGGGCTGCCAAGCAGCAAACACAAACGAGTGATGCTCCTAAACCTGAGCTTCCAGGGGGACTTACAGCATCCTTGTGCTGGCTTCTCCATCCTTACACCCTTTAGTAAGACATAAGCAGTCCTCAGCTCCTCCAAATCTTCCTGCTGAGCTCTCAGTGCTGCTCTTCCTCCCTCCTACCAGGAACCAAACCCTGCATGTGTCCACTTTGCCTTTTTATAGGGACTCTGCCCTACTCAGGCTGCCTGAGTTCACATGGCTTCTAAGGAGTAACAAAACTAATCTAGTTCCCCTGAATCCAAACACATTGCCCCTGTTTTTTGGGTTTCACTGCACTTTCCAGGTCTCCCTACTCCAAGAAGGGGTCTCACTGTCTCCTTTAACTACACTTTCCAGGTCTCCCCACTCTCTGTCTCCTTTAGCTCACAGGATAAATAGCTGTAGAGGTTTATTGCTGAGGTTAAAGCAAGGTGCAGGTAGGAGTCTCCTTTGGTTTTCTTGCTTTTGAAACTCCTGGGGTCAGATTTCTTGCAGTAAAAAAAATAGAAAAGCGCTATTAAAATTGACACAGAGGTTGTAACAAGCCCTTCTTGGCTGAGGGGATCTACAGGGCTAAGTTTTGGGGTTCCCAGCTGTGTCTGGGCTGAGGTCGGGCACAGCCGGGAACCCAAAAGCCGCCGCACCCGAAATAACTAATCGAGA